ACACTTGTGGGAAGACATTCACTCATCCATCAGTATTGAAGCGTCATATATCAATCCACACAGGGGAAAGGCCACATTCTTGTAGCACCTGTGGGAAAACATTCTTTCACCCGTCACATTTGAAGTATCATTTAAGAATTCATAGTGGGGAGAAGCCATATTCCTGCATCACCTGCGGAAAAACATTCGCTCGGACATCAGTGTTGAAGCGTCATATTAGAATCCACAGTGGGGAGAAGCCATATTCTTGTAGCACCTGTGGGAAAACATTCTCTCAGCCATCACATTTGAAGTATCATTTAAGAATTCATAGTCGGGAGAAGCCATATTCTTGTGTCACCTGAGGGAAAACATTCACTTGGACAGCAGTGTTGAAGCGTCATATAAGAACCCACAAGGGGGAGACGTCTTAAAGTAAATATTTGGAGCAATTAAGATTTAAAAAGGCGTTGAAGCCTTCTATAAGAACGGAACATAAATGCTGCATTTGAGAGAAAAGTCTTTTGTCACTTGTTCGCTAGTGCACTTAATTTTTTTTAATTTTTTTATTTAACTTTATTGTCTTATTTTAAACTAATCCATAGCATTGGCATGTTATTTTACTTTATTACTCGTGCACTGCTGTCTTGTTGTCTATTGTTATACTGTCTACTGTCACGCACCAACCGCCAAGTCAAATTCCTTATATTTATGACATATTTTGGCAATAAATGTTTCCTGATTCCTGATTTTCATCAGCTAAATGATATGTAATGTAATAACAGTCATTAAATGTATATCATTTTTTGTCATCCCCCAAATCTTTGTTGCAGATTTAGGGAACATATCTTGCAAATGTTTTGAAATATATATATATCTGTCTATCTGACAAATTAATTGTCAATCTACAAAAAGTCCTGCAATAAAAATGATGGATCTCTTAAACTGATAAACCCTCAAATAATGTTCACTCGTGATTTCATCCTGCCTGAGTTTTTTTGTGGAAAGCAGTTTGAGAAAAAAGTCAAAAGAAAAGATCGACCTCCCATTCAACCATTTCCACTTATGAAAAAGTTCAGAGGTATATTCATATACAGAGTAAAACTATTTGGGCTAAAATGAAAACTATTGTGTAGTACGTGGAAGACATCAACCAAATACCTGGTTGATTGTGGGATAATATTT